AAGGGCAGGCAAAGCGAAAGATACACAGCTGAACACGCAGAGATGGGAAGCCCGTGTATGTAGTGAATCAGAAAAATAAAGGACAATAAATAAATGTTCCCACTTGTTATTGGAATTATTAATAAAAGCTGTGTGCTGGTTTATGATAATAACGAAGTGGAAACCCACCTAGTCCTATACCAAATGGAGTTCTGTAGGCCCCTGGTAATACTCAGTAACTTTATCTTTATACTTAGAAAGATATAAGTGAGAGTTCATCTGATGCATTTATTTCTATGACTGAGCTTTCTTAGCTCAATGTAGCACCTATCTAATGAGTGCAGGGGTTGCTTAACTTCCTTTTGTCCTTCCAAGAATTTAGCAATATGTGTGTTCTTTGCTGTAGACTTTCCATCTCAGAAAGATTATGACAGACACTTGACCTTACAGGCCCACTTACCTCTACTTCCTAATATCAAAAGGCCACTTCTTAGCATATGTCCTTTCCCCTTCCAGCCTGACTACCCACCACCCCATGGCTTTCCTCAGACAGTCGCATTGAAAGGGCCATTAGAGAAGCACTTGTGATGCTATCTAGGGGTTTGCAAACAGCCTTGTGGTGCCATAGAAAGGTAAGAGCCGCATACAAAATGAGCCAACCTGCAGGGTGTAGAAAACTGCATAACATGACAACATATTTCAAAGCTAAATATGTTTTATTTATAAATAACATTTAGATACAGAAGTTAATAAGATGTTCCAAAGATCCCCAGTTTATCAGCACAGACACACCAGAGAGGAAAGACAGCGTGTTTCTATGTCTCTGCCATATGACAGCAAAAACCAAGGCTGGTTATATCCAGACATCTTAGTAGACACAGTGCCAGGTCACTTGAAAACTACAAGCATTAGGTTTATTTTCTTATTCGTGGGTACTCCTGAATAATTTCCCTGGATACCTTCAATCTGTGCAATTCATACTGTGCAATTATATCACATCAATTATACGCCTTAAACTCCCTCTTCAGTTGGCATGAATTCTGCTAAAAACTATTTATACATAAATAATAATTAGCTTTTAAGCCCCTCTGCTTCCTCCCCACCCATTCTCCTTGTGAATTTACTCCACGGGGGCACTGCAGGAGATAGTCTAACTAAGCTGATAAGAGATTTTTTCATTTATCGGCTATTATCCAAGTATCCATTCTGGAAACTATAACCTGTTGGAATTTTAGAAGTCTATCTTAATATCAGTCACATTTTATATGCTAGTACTTTGCTTTTTAAAAAAATAATCAAATGTAGACATTGATACTCTGGAACTAAAAAGTTTTTAACCAAGGTCAAACTCTTCCTCTGTCCTCACTAGCACCACCAACTCACTCACTTTTGTGAAGCCCAGGAAATGGGACTCTAGAGACCAGAAAGATGTGCATTATCTGCACAGGAGTGAAGCAGGGAGTCATCCCGTTGCTATAGAGATGGCTTTATTTCCACATGTACACATATGTCTGTAACTGCATTCACAATGGTCACTTTATTGTTCCCACTGTATTTTCATGCTTCAGAGAGTTAAAAAAAAAATGCTTTTCCCACTTTAAGTGTTATTCATTCCTAACCTGTATGGTTTTTATAATCGCAAAAAAATTCTAATTTATAAATGGGAAAAGCTAGTAAGGTACTAGTGCAAATGCATAGCCCAATGATGACACAGCATTTTTAAGGCCCCAGAATTCCTTCCAAGGATGCTGCTGCACCCCGTAATCAGACCCAAGGGTAAGTATCTCCAGCATGGGCGGCAGTTTAAGGAATCCTCAATTTTAATTGTTCTTCATGGGGCTGCTAAAAAATTGAGTCATTGGCAACTCGTACATGTAAACTCATTTGTCTCATTTTATTTGGTCTTGATATGGGAAAAGAAATTCATAATATTACCAAAGTGTAAACACTAATTATCAAATAATTCAAAGAACTGTGACTAAAAGATTGAGTTCTTGAGAAGCCTAAACTCCTCCCTTTTTAAAATAGAAAAATATGCCTTGGTAAGATGCCGAGGGACACGGTCTTAGAATTTGCCTTTGCTTAATTTGATCTTGGATCTGAACCCACTTCATAAAAGCCTTCAAGTCCCTATTTGAAGGTGACTAAGACTCCATTCCATCACCTTCCAGCATGTCTTTTTAAAATATTATAAACAACACAGTATTGTACTCAGTATTTCAGCAAAAGAAACAAAAACAAAAACCTGCTGATTAAATTCACAGAAAGAATGCATAAAGGCAGAAGTAAATAAACAAGACTTCGAATTTTTTTTTTTTTAAAGAACTTTAAAAATAAACTGGGCTGAAAACTACTTTTGCAATGACAGTGTCATGTTTGGCCCCACTGTGTTTCAGAAGCGCTGCATAAATATGAACAGAATCATCTAATGCACTTTTTCAAAACAGTGCTTCTCAGCCGGCGGCTAGTGCGAATTCGTTCTACTGCTAGGTGCCAGTGACACTTTGGTTTGCTTTATTGGCAACATTTTGGCAACGCGTCCTATGCTAAGAGGAAGGCTGGAAACCAAGCATATGACAAGAGCCAAATCCACTGTGTTACTTCTTTTCATGTTTCTTAGTTAACTCCCCCACGCCCAGCTGGAAGCTGCCCCGGTTGTCGCTGGTCCGACTCTCCCGGGAGACTTGTCGCACAGCTTGCAGGATGGCGTGCTGCACGATCTGTTTGCTGGCATTCTGCAGTCTCACCTCTTCGGGCTCATTTCCAGGTTTCTCACCTAGCCAAAAACAGGAAAGGGGGAAAAGAGAAATTCATTTCAGGAAGTGTGACACGCAGGGGTAGGGGAGAAAGATGGGAGGGAAGAGAAGGGTGAGATTGTAAGAACATGCTAGATTGGCCCAGTTAACTACGAGAAGCCCAGCAGACACACACCGGTGTCCTGCATATCCACTGGGGACTGGTCCCAGGACACCCCGTGGATACCAAAATCCATGGACGCTCAAATCTCTGACATAAAATGCTGTAGTATTTGCATATAACCTACACATATCCTCCTGTATACATTAAATCATCTCTAGATTGCTTATAATATTTAATCCAATGTAAATAGTTATTGTTTTTAAAATTTGTATTATTTTTTACTGCTGTATTGTTATTTCTTATTTTTTCCCCAATATTTTCGATTCGTGGTTGGTTGAATCCTCAGATGTGGAAGGGCAGATATGGAGGGCCAGTGTATTGCTGTCTCCCCTTCTTTCTTTCTAACAGAATCTCCATTTTGTTTGCCCTGGTTACGTGCCCAAATTCACATGCTCACCACCCCAGACGCCTGGGCTGCTGGAGGTGGCCGTGAGACAGTCCTGACCAATGAGACTGCTGAGAAAGTTTTCAGAAAGGGACAGACTCCTGCCCTTCTGCACCTTCCCCTTCTTCCTGCGTGGCAAGCGGACACACGCCTTCAGTTGCTGCCGCATCTTACAGAGAGCGAAGAGATGAAAGCCAACATGCTGGGCATGGTTAGGGAGAAAGAAAAAGCCCAGTTTTGAAGGCAACACTGAGCATCTGCACCAGTCCTGGACCATGTACTTTGGGCTTTTATGTATATGATGAAAATATTCCTTTTTATAGTCAGATTTAATGTTACCTGCAGCCAAATACATGCCTAGCATATGTTAATATAACCTCACCGGGGCTGGAGAAGAACAGATGATCACTGAATCCATATCGAGCTCAACTCTGCTCCTGTCATGGCATCACAACCGATGAAGCCATTCATCAGAGCTGTCCCCTGTGATCTAGAACAGGGGTTGGGGAACTTTTCCTATGAAGGACCAGACAGCAGGTATTTTAGGCTTGTGGGCCATATGAGCTCTGGAACAACTATCAACTCTGCTGTTGTAGCATGAAATCGGCCGTAGATGAATGGGCATGGCTTTGTTCCAATAAAACTTTATTTACAAAAAACAGGCTGAAGGCTAGATTTGGCCTGTGGGCCAGTTTGCCCTGATCTTGACTGGTAGGAATTTTCCAATTAAAAGGCAAGGCGGTCTACCCAACACTTATAATTTCTTTTCTTCCTTAGTTAAAAACAAAATTTTAATTTTATTTGAGTAGCTATGTAATTAGATACAGCTAAGTTCTGATCAATGAGGTGGAAGCGGAAGTTCATTTAGTGAAAATTCTGGAAAAAGTACTTAAAAGGGAAAGATCAGATAAAGGCCTTTCGCCCTCTCCTCATCCTATTGCCTGCAACTCTGACCTGGTGGTTGCCATTCCAGGGCTCTCTCTATCCCTGAGGGAACCTTTAGAATATAAACCATTTTCAGGGATTTTGGAAGAAAAACTTGGTAGGAGCCTGGGATCCCAATGACCAAGAAGCCATCATGTCAGTTCTCAGCTATCCCCCTCCAGGCCTCTTTCATGTTAGAAAAATATAATATATCTCGTTTAAGGCAACTGCTATTTTGGGTTTTCTTTTATTATGCAGAAAACTTAATATGAACTCATGCATGATAGAGTGACATGGTAACATTTGACTAAAGTGCAATCTTGAAAAAGTTGAGTTCCACCTGCTTATATTAATATTCATAGTGATAAACAGAACAAGCATCATTCCTTATTCGAAATCATGTTTTACATATTTTCTCTATTCAAATATGCTGCTACCATGAAAATGTACTTAAAATTGGAGGGGAGGGGTTCACCAGGGTGGATTCATTAACAACAGAATTTATACATCCATGAGAAAAACATCACATACGAGAATATTGAGTCATTCTGGAAGACCAGACAGCTCTTATGCCTTTAGACATACAGGTGTCATTTATTTAGCATTTTTGTCCATCCACTGAGGGATTTACAATCTAGTGAACAAAGCAAGATCAATCTATTCAGAACAAAAAACAGTATTTTTTAAAGCAGGATAAAATGAACAATCTACATTGAACTCAGCAGAGAATGAGTCCAGAGGCATGACATGAGACAGACTGAAACTTTAAAGTGGCAGAGAAGAATACTTCGAATATTCTCTGTAGGAAATCAGTGAACAGTAATGAACAGTAACACTAAGAGACACTAGAGCACAGCTGTTAGGAATACGTGTTCTGAAGCACTTCAGAGCTTTCGAGTCCTTTCTGCCACTTATAGCCATGCAATCTTGGGCAAGATACCTCGCCTCTCCAAGCCTTTGCATGTCCACAGGATGGGCCAGTGGTACCTATTCAGGAAAGTTGCTAGAGAATTAAGTGACATAACATGTAGACAGCGCTCAGTGTGTCTCCAGACACATAGCAAGGGCTTCATAATTGTCCATCGCTGTGAATTAGTCGGAGAATAGACTAAGCTGCTGTAACAAAGAAGCTCGAAATTAGGACAGCTCACGCAGGCAGAGAAATTTATCACCCTCTCATGTATTAATAACAGTCCAGAGGTACAGCAGGGTGGAGGTGGCCCTGCTCCACAGGTTATCTGAGGACTCTACTTCCTTCCGACTTACTACTCTGCCGCTTCCTGCAATAGTACTCCCGTCTGCACAAGGGACACTGGTTAACCAATATCCCACCCGGGGCTGAAAGAGAGCAAAAGAGAAAAGGAAGGGCAAGCCATTTCCTTTTAAAGAATTGTCATAGAAGTTGCAAACATTACTCCGCTCACATTCTTTTGGTGGAAACTTAGTCACAGGACCGCACCTCGCTACGAGGAAGGCTAGGAAATATAGTTGTAAGCTGGGCAGTCATACATATGCCCTATAAAACTCAGGGAGATTCTAATGCTAAAACAAAGAAGCAGTTAAAGATTTCTTAAATTACTTTCATGCAAGGGCCAAGGCTACATTGAAGAGGGAGAGTACAGTATGTCCTTTCAGTGGATCAAATCTGAACTCAGGGCTCTCTGTCTACTATCACTGTACGGCCTAAGTATGTGGGTTTCCGCTTGCTCTTAGAAAGAGTGTCTTAGCCAAACTAGATGTGTGTTAATTCTAAAATGTCCCTGTTTTTCTGTCTTTGGATGGAGGAAGGAAGAATCCAGGGGTAAGAGTAAGCTGATTCTTTGATTCTTGAACAATAGGAAAAAAGAAAATTTACTCTAAATTTAGCTGCAGTCTAATATCTGAGCTAAAGGGTCATGTCCTCATCCATCCATTATGAAGATAAATTGATTAAAAAGTCAAAGACAGCATGTGCCAGGCGGTCTGGAGGGCACTTTGGTGACTGGCAAGGGTGGTTTAACCAGCCTTCCTTGTGAGTTTAACCCTCATCGTCCTCATTATGACTTTGCTCCGGGTCATCCTGCAGTGGAGGACGAGGGACAACGAATGCGGCAACATGGAGCAGACAAGGAGAGGAATGAAAATGAGGGAAAAGCCACCCAGAGCACTTAACAGACAGTAAAAGCAAAACAAGAAGTTATACAACCCACAGATACATGCTCATGTCAGGCTGTTGTTCAGGCAAGGTCTCCTGTGACCTCGCTATTGGGGGAGAACCATGATATGGGGACGCACATGTCGCAGCCAAGAGTCATGGAACTATTTAGCTAAGCCCTACCTTACAATTCAGAAATCAGAAAAATTCAATATAGCTCCAGGTATTGCATTCCCTAGATCATTCTCTGCCATGCAAGGGCCCCAACTCCCCCATTTCTTCTGGAGTCTTCCTGACTTCATGGCATTTACTTACTCTTATTTCTGCTTATTCATGACATGTAGTGCTTCAGGGCTTGTACACTGCCTTCTCTCTGAAGGCATTCCAGCCAAGGTCCCGGGACTTAACATCCGCTGAAATTCCCGAGAGAGTGCCGACAAAGCAGCACTTTCATGCCAGGGCAGCCACAGCTTGAAGACCTGTGGCTTATTCTGACCCAATCAGCAGTGGCTGGGCAGGTCAGATCAAGAGGTGAGAACGCCTGTTCTGTCTCGGGCAGAACAGGTGTTCCCATGTTTGTCTCTGTCCAGGATCATATGGTGTTCACTTGAAAGGCCAAGATATTTGAGAAAATCCTGGTGGAGACTCTAGATGTGCACTACAACTGACAGAAGGTAAAAGGCAGACCCAGCCATGGAAATTCTCAGAGGCACACAATTGACTTATATGCATCTAATTTACTTCAATGAATCACATGGTAGGTGGCCTACTGCCTAGTTTTAAATGATGCAAACATCTTCCATACTAATTAGCATTTACAACATCAATTTTGTATGTCACAAAAGATGAAGAATTGATTTAATTAGCTTTAAACTTGTAAATGCCCAATATGAATACACTGAAGTCAAGAATGTGATGTAACTAAATTTGTCTTCAATGTCTTTCCACCTTGAATCATTATTCGCCTTCCCCCACCTCCAGGCATCCATATGGTCCTGCTTCTTGGTGACCACCAGCCCACCCTACAGGGCCTAGCCTTCCACAAACCACAGTGAGCTCTACAGCTCCCCACCCCCACTCCCAGGAACTTTCTGTTCCATATCCCATTCTCACCTGCTCCAGTGGAAGGTGCTCAAGGAACTCAACTGTAATATGACTAATAATTGGTCTTAATTTATTCTGTGTAGCCACTAAAATTATGCATCTAACAATCATAGGAAGAGCCTCCTGATAAAAATTTGCATTACTTTCCTCTCCAAGAATCTAAGTGCCATTTACCTCTATTACATTAACCCTATTATATTCCACTGTGCTGGGTTTTGGAAAAGGTCAATGTTCCATTTTGAGGCAGAATACAGTTAGTGATTTTTTCCTAGATCACACAGATAGGGTGACAGAGGTTGTATCATAAACA